ATGCTCACCATCCTTAATCATCAGAGAAATGCAAATCAAAACTACTTTGAGATATCACCTAACTCCAGTAAGATTAGCCCATATCACAAAGTCCCCAAACCAGAGATGTTGGCGTGGATGCGGAGAAAAGGGAACACTTCTACACTGCTGGTGGGAATGCAAATTAATTCATTCTTTTTGGAAAGACATTTGTAGAACACTTAGAGAACTAAAAATTGACCTGCCATTTGATATTGCAATTCCTTTATTAGATATATATCCAGAAGACCAAAAATAACATTACAACAAAGATATTTGTATCAGAATGTTTATTGCAGACTAATTCATAATTGCTAGGTCATGGAAGAAGCCCAAGTGCCCACCAACCCACAAATGGATTAATAAGTTGTGGTATATGTACACCATGGAATATTATGCAGCCCTAAAGAAAGATGGAGACTTTACCTACTTCATGTTTACATGGATGGAACTGGAAAATGTTCTTCTTAGCAAAGTATCTCAAGAATGGAACAAAAAGTATCCAATGTACACAGCCCTATTTTGAAATGAATTTATAGCTTTCATAGGAATGTTATAACCTAATTATAGCCTTAGAATATGGGGAGGAGGGAGGGAGAGGGGAGGGAGAGGGAAGGGAAGGAAGGTGGATGAGTGGAGGGAGGGTGATTGGAGGGATCATTTCTATGTTTATCCTACAAGGGTACAAGTGAATCTTTCTAAAAGCAAAGTATGATTGTTTTAACTCAATAACTAAGAAAATGACATGAAGGTTATGTTAACCAGTTTAATGAGAGTAGTTCAAAATGTATATGAAAACAGCACACTGTACACCATGATTGCATTAATGTACACAGCTATGATTTAATAAAAAAAACTAAAAAAAAAATTTAGAACAAAAACATTTGCACCAGAATGTTTATTGCAGCCCAATTCGTAATTGTCAAGTCATGGAAGCAGCCCAAGTGCCCAATGACACATGAGTGGATTAACAAACTGTAGTGTGTATATACCATGTAATACTATGCGGCCACAAAAGATTAGACTTTACATATCTTATGTTTACCTGAATGAAGCTGGAACATATTCTTCTTAGTAAATTATCTCAAGAATGGAAGAAAAATTATCCAATGTATTCAATACCATTATAAAACCAATATATAATCACACATTCATACAAATGATAAAACACAGCTATAGTCCAGAAAGCAGGAGGGAAGAGGAGGGAGAGTAGAGGAGAGAAGGGAGACCTGGAAGAGGGAGGGTATTTGATGGGACCTTACCTAATGTGCACAATGCAATGGTACATTTCAAAACTATTAAGAATAGAGTATAAATGTCTTACCACAACAAATAAGCAAGTGAGGTGATGGTTATATTAACCAGTTTATGTAAGCATTCCACATTGTATATCAAATCAACATATTGTACCCCATAAATTCATTAATGTACACAGTTATGATTTAATAAAAAAAGGAAGAGTAATGGCATGCATGCAGGGTACACTTAAGAAGATTTGATGCATATCAAAATACATTATTTTTTAAAAGGCAGGCTAATGGCATGCATCCAGGGTACACTTAAGAAGATTCACTGCATTAGCAACACTTTATTTAGCACAGGGGCCAAGAAATTAGTGCTTTTGGGCCAAATCCAGCCCACTATCTGCCTTGTAAGCAAAGTTTTATTGAACCATAGCCACATTTACTGACGTATGTCTATAACAAATAGGGGATTACAATAACAGAGACTTCATAGTTCACAAAGCCTAAACTATTTACTCTCCAGCTCTTTATGGAATGAGTTGGCCCACTCCTACTTTGGTAGGTCACAGGTTCTTTGATGTATTTTAATGTTTTAGCTAAAATACTGAAATGTTTATATGGAAGAGGGATACCCATGTGTAATCCCTTATTAATATGCAGATTAATTCAAAGGTCCAATGTGTGAACGCTCATGAATTGAGAACAAAAACCAAAAATTTAATAACTAGCAATTTTGCTGGTTAAAAATGCAGAGTGCTAAGGTAGCATGTAATTTCATTTCCCACTCAGCAAACATTATACGAATTCTAACACAATTTGTTTAAGATGTTCCATCCACCTAAATGCTTTAAATACATTTGAACTTTGAAATAGTCAGTACCTACAAATCTAACCCTACCCTCATTTTTTAAGTGGTTGTATTACTACATTATTTTAAGGGTATGACAATTTGGTAACTATTTCCTGATTGATAGATATTAAGCCTATCTCCAACTTTTCAATATGAAAATGTTGTAACAAATACCTTTGGCTTGGCACCTGTAGCTCAGTGGTTAGGGCACAAGCCACATAACCAGGGTTGGTAGGTTCCAACCCAGTCCGGGCCTGCTAAACAACAATGACAGTTACTACAAAAAATAGCCAGGCGTTGTGGTGGGCGCCTATAGTCCCAGCTACTTGTGAGGCTGAGGCAAGTGAATCGCTTAAGCCCAAGAGTTTGAGGTTGCTATGAGCTGTGATGCCATGGCACTCTACCAAGGGTGACATAGTAAGACTCTGTCTCAAAAATGACAACAACAAAAATACCCTTAACATACCCATATGTATACACATTTATGTAAACATCCTTTACATACATATATTATGTTTTTAACATGTTACATATTATATAAAAATACATTCTTATATTTATATGCATAGGCCTGTTTTATGTTATAATATAATAAAAGTCCTTAACGTGTGTGTGTGTGTTTATACAAGTCATGTTTTTCTGTAGGATCTAAATCTTCAGCATATACAAGGTAGTAAAAAGTCATGAAAAAAAAGATGGAGGATTGAGCCCTGGGATACTTTAGTGTGTAGAAGGTGGGCCAGGAAGTTAAGGTGTCAGGTTAAAATAGTAATATATTTAAAATTATGGTACATGCCACTAAATTATCCCTTAAAGAGGGTTTACTCATTTCATTTACCAATAGTGTATTAGACTGCCTTTTCTTCACATTTGCCAACACTGGTTATTAGTTTTTTAAATAAAACATCAGTATGAATGGAAAAACTGGGACTCATTGCTAATTTGTATTTTTCTATTTACCAGTCAAGGCTGAATATCCCTAGTAAAAGTATGAAATTTGTTAATCATGAATATTAGCCTAAACTAGAATTAGTTTTACAGTATAGTAATAATTATCAGTGTTAAATAGTGCTATAGGCTCACCTATCATACTCTTCCTGCTCAGGAAAGTGCTGATTATCAGTTTTTTCAGTCTTTCTTCCTGGAGTTACTCCACTGTCATTGTTATCAGCAGCAGCACCATCATACAGGTTTTCTGATACTACCACTTTATTACTTTTGTGTGTCTTCCTTTTTTTTTTAACCTTAAATGAAAGTTAGATACCAAGAATAACTGTTATTACTTCATTCAATAAAAATAACTTTTTGTTTTCATTGATTGTATTTCTTCACTCAATCTGTCATGATTTTGTCATGAAAATACAGTAGAACCTCTATAGTTGATGACCTCCCTAAATTAACTATCTCCTCAAGTCCTAATTTTCATAAACCAGACATACACCAAATATACTTGTCAGTACAGTATAGTTCCTTATATTGACTACCTCCATATGTTGACCAGTTTATTACAGTCTCTTAAGTGGTCAACTTAAAGAAGTTCTACTCTATTTTGTGCTTACTTTGTACATAATTATATAAGATATCATTATTACAATTTTATCATTGATCTGCTTCATTTCTGTTTGAGTGGATGAAGCAGAATTTCCCAAAATTTTGAGTAAGGAATTTCTTAATTTTGTGTTTTGATTCCCATCAACTCTTCACTGTCTAATATAAATTTTCACTCTGTTTGAATGGCAGGTACAGAAAAAGAAATACAAAAAGACATAAAACATGCCTGCTTCTGTCTTTACCATCTGGATTTTATATTAAACAGCCGGATTTAAAGGCTATGAAATTATAGGACTTCAGGAACAGAAAAAAAGCTTACCTCTTAATGCACTAAGCTATTCTTTTCTCTGCTGCCTTTTATCATTCTTTCTTTAAAAAAGAAATTAGATCCTGGGAGATCAAGAAAATGAAAATGTTCACTGAAATACAGGAACCAAAGTTTGGCCACAGCACAAGGAACAGAGTGAACATGATCTGCTAGTGTGAAACTCTAGAAAATAAGATGTTTTCCAGATACCACATTCAATAACCATGATATTTTATAGCTAAAGGATATACAGTACAAGTAATTATCTGCTTTAACTCCATTATCTACTGATAATACAAGTAAAACCAAGAAAAGATTAAAAAGCTCCAGGAGCTTTAGGAGCCATCAAAGCTCCTAAAATGGCATTGCCTACATTCCATGGCACCAAAAGGGATGATACAATTCCATACTGCTGAATCTGATAAATTACCAGATAAGTTCATCAAATTCATCAGATAAATTAAAAGTGTGACTTTGGCAAAGTAATTCAATGCGTAGGAGGCCTCATTCAATTTTACCTTAAAATATTATCAGACTTTGGTCTATTTTTAAAACTCATTGTACAGAATTCAGTTTTCTGTGCGATAAATTTCCCTCTTAGGACTGCCTTTGTGGTATCCCAGAGATTCTGATAACTCATCTCTTCATTGTTGTTTAGTTCCAAGAATTTGGTAATTTCCTTCTTGATCTTGTCTTTGACCCAAGTGTCATTGAGCATAAGGTTATTTAGCTTCCACGATTTTGTTTGAGTCTGCAAGTTCCTGTTGTTTCTGAGTTCAACTTTTATTCTGTGGTGGTCTGAGAAGATGCAAGGGATAATTTCTATTCTTTTAAATTTGCTGAAGTTAGACTTGTGACCTAGGATGTGATCTGTTTTGGAGTATGTTCCGTGGGCTGATGAATAAAATGTGTACTCAGTTTTATTAGGGTGAAATGTTCTATAGATGTCCGTTAAGTCCAGATGCTGAATGGTTAGGTTTAAATCTAGAATTTATTTGCTAAGTTTCTTGTTGGATGATCTGTCCAGCACTGCCAAAGGGGTATTAAAATCTCTGACTATGATGGAGCTGGGAGTAATCAGGTTTCACGTTTACATGGATGGAGCTGGAAAATGTCCTCCTTAGCAAAGTATCTCAAGAATGGAAGAAAAAGTATCCAATGTACTCAACACTATTATGAAACTAATTGTTAGCTATCTTAGGAAAGCTATAATCCAAATGGAGTCCAAGACTATGGGGAAACGGAAGAGGGAGGGGAGGGGAGGGGGAGGATGGATGAAGAGAATGATATTGTGGGGATCACGCCTATGATTTATCCTATTACGGTACATGTGAATTTGTCTAAAGGTCGAATATAAATGTCTTAACACAACAATTATGAGACAGACATGATGGCTATGTTAGCCAGTTGGATGAGAGTTTTTCAAACTGTATATGGAAGCAACACACTGTATCCTATGATAGAATTAATGTACACAATTATGATCTAATAAAAAATATACTAAGAAAAATAAAATTTGGAGCCAAATACCAACTTTTTGCTGAGCATTTCAAATCATACATGCCAAAACTTACCAGAATTATTAAGCAATATAATGTAAAGATGTGATTTAAGAGAAACATTTGAGAGTAATGATTTTGAAAAGTATGAGAAAATGTATACATGTATATCTGGTGTCAAAAATATCTAAAGTGAACATGATGGAATTATAAATTCCAACAGTTGCAATGAAACAGGTAAACTTGCACACATGAAGGAATATTATATAGATTCCTTTGGCTGGGATATTTCATTTGTTACAATTCTCAAGGATAGGTCCACATTTATATCTCTTCTCACACATTCCTTCCTCCTATTGGATTTCCATTTTATTGTTTAAATAAATGTTATTCATCTATAAGTCAATAAGGGATTAAAAACATCTAGAGGTGGCTTGGCGCCCATAGCACAGTGGATATGGTGCCAGCCACATACAATGGGGGTGGTGGGTTCAAACTCTGCCCTGGCCAGCTAAACAACTGCAACAAAAAATAGCCGGGCATTGTGGTGGGCACCTGTAGTTCCAGCTGCTTGGGAGGCTGAAGCAAGAGAATCGTTTAAGCCCTGAAGTTTGAGATTACTGTGAGCTGTGACACCACGGCACTCTACCCAGGGTGACATAGTGAGACTCTATCTTAAAAAAAAAAAAGTTCTTTTTTCTTTCTTTCTTTCTTTTTTTTTTTTTGATACAGAAAAAGTAGGTTTTTTGAAAAGGTCAATAAAATAGGTAAACCTTTTGGCCAACCTAACCAGGAAATTAGAGTAAAATCTCTCATTTCATCAATCAGAAATGGTAAAGACAAAATAACAATAGACCCTTTAGAAATTCAAAAAAAATCCTTAATGAATATTACAAGAAACTTTGTTCTCAGAAATATGAAAATCTGAAGGAAATGGACCAATACTTGGAAGCAAGCCACCTTCCAAGACTTAGCCAGAAGGAAGTGGAAATGTTGAATGGGCCTATATCAAGTTCTGAAATAGCATCAATTATACAAAATCTCCCTAAAAAGAAAAGCCCAGGACCAGATGGCTTCCCATCAGAATTCTACCAAATAAGTCAGTAAGGGATTAAAAAGGCTAGTTTTAAGGCTTAAAGAGGAACTAGCACCTATATTACTTAACGTTTTCCAAAATATAGATAAAGAAGAAATACTTTCTATGTATCCCAACACATTCTATGAAGCAAACATCACCTTGATCCCCAAACCAGGAAAAGATCCAACAAGAAAAGAAAATTATAGACCAATATCACTAATGAATATTGATGCAAAAATATTCAACAAAATCCTATCAAACAGAATCTAGCAACACATCAAAAAAATTATACACCATGACCAAGTAGGTTTTATCCCAGGGTCCCAAGGCTGGTTCGACATACATAAATCCATAAATATAATTCATCACATAAACAAATTAAAAAACAAAGACCATACGATTCTTTCAATTAATGCAGAAAAAGCTTTTGATAATATCCAGCACCCCTTCACGATCAGAACACTTAAGAAAACTGGTATAGAAGGGACATTTCTTAAACTGATAGAGGCTGTCTACAGCAAACCTACAGCCAATATCATATTGAATGGAGTTAAATTCAAATCATTTCCACTCAGATCAGGAACCAGGCAAGGTTGTCCATTGTCTCCACTGCTCTTTAAAATTGTAATGGAAGTTTTAGCCATCACAATTAGGGAAGAAAAGGCAATCAAGAGTATCCATATAGGGTCAGTAGATCAAACTTTCACTCTTTGCAGATGATATGATTGTATATCTGGAAAACATCAGAGATTCCACTGCAAAACTCTTAGAAATGATCAAGAAATATAGCAGCATCTCAGGCTACAAAATCAACACTCATAAATCGGTAGCCTTCTTATATACCAACAGTAGTCAAGCTGAAAAAATAGTCAAGGACTCTATTCTGGTCACAGTAGTGCCAAAGAAGATGAAATATTTGGGAGTTTACCTAATAAAGAATGTGAAAGATGTCTATAAAGATAACTATGAAACTCTAAGGAAAAAAAATAGCTGAAAATGTTAACAAATGAAAAATCATACCATGCTCATGGCTGGGAAGAATCAACATTGTAAAATGTCCTTACTACCCAAAACAATATATAATTTTAATGCAATCCCTATTAAAGCCCCACTGTCATACTTTAAAGATCTTGAAAAAATAATACTTTGTTTTATATGGAATCAGAAAAAAACTCAAATAGCCAAGACGTTACCCAGAAATAAAAACAAAGCAGGAGGAATCACACTACCAGACCTCAGATTATACTATAAATTGATAGTGATCAAAACAGCCTGGTACTGGCACAAAAACAGAGAGGTAGATGCATGGAACAGAATAGAGAACCAAGAGATGAACCCAGCTACTTACTGTTATCTGATCTTTGACAAGCCAATTAAAAACATTGAGTGGGGAAAAGATTCCCTATTTAACAAATGGTGCTGGGCAAACTGACTGGTGACCTGTAGAAGATTGAAACTGGACCCACACCTTTCACCATTAACTAAAATAGACTCTCACTGGATTAAAGATTTAAATTTAAGACATGAAACTATAAAAGTATTAGAAGAAAGTGTAGGGAAAACACTTGAAGAAATCGGCCTGGGCGAAAATTTTATGAGGAAGACCCCTCAGGCAATTGAAGTAACAGCAAAAATACACTACCTGATTAAACTAAAAATCTTCTGCACAGCCAAGAACACAGTAAGTAAAGCAGACAGCCCTCAAAATGGAAGAAGATATTTGCAGGTTATGTCTCTGAGAAAGGTTTAATAACCAGAATCCACAGAGAACTCAAGCATATTAGCAAGAAAAGAACAAGTGATCCCATC